AAAAAAAAAAAAAAAAAAAAGACATTGAAGAGAAGCACTGAAAAAGCAGTAAGAGAGAGAGGAAACAAAAATTATTAAACCAGATGATGGAAGAAAGAAACTAAGGTGACAAGGTCTGTATAATCTAATGCAGTCATATAGTGTAGTGCCATAAGAACACACAAACTGTGGAATCAGATTAGAAGTAAAATACTTGTCCATATTTTGCAGTGAATAATGTGTACTTCTTTGCTGAAATTTCTGAGGGAAAAATACATATGTGCATTATACATGGCACATGGGTCATTACAAAAGTTTTGAGATACACAAAAATCAAGAAACATAAATCCATCCAAAAGAAAAAGATTAAGCCCTTCCATCAATACTGAAAAGCCAAGCAAGACCAAACTCACATGGATGACTCAGAAAGGACACTAATGACCATGTTTCTCAGAAGCAAAATAATGAACCACAACACAGTCTGTCTCAAAACTTTCATAGTGGCCCATATACTAAATTCCATAGCTAGATAAATGATTTCAATTATTTCTTTATGCTTATGTGCTAAAAGTGTAATTCTAGAAAGACAGAACGATATCCATATGCAAAATAATGCCCTGGAATACAGTAACTGGTTTTGTTGAACTTACAACAAGCCTGCAACAAAAGCAAAACCCACTTGTTGTGGTATTTGGTAGGCTAACCAGCCAAATGCGACCTCCATAAATGTGCTATGTTAGTAAATAAGTCCTTTAAGGCCCTACTGAAGAAAGAGTGGACGTGGTGGATGCAGTCACTGGTAATGATTTACTACCTACAGGCAGAATCAAGAAAGCACCCATTGCCCAAGTTTGTAGTTAGATCCTAAGACTGTAGAATAGTGTCAAGCAGGAAGTGGTTATGAAATCATTTTTAAAATAGCAATTCTATGGATGGAACTGAAGATAATGAAATTTACCAGAAAAGGAAGGTGACTCTTCAGGAGTTACCAATAATGAAGAAATTGAAGATGATAATACTTCAGATATTGACAATGATGAAGAGATCTTAGCCTTCTATGATGAGTAGATAATGCAAATTTGTTACCAGTACATCAAATTTCTTGTACCTTGTATCTGTTCTTGTGTTTTGTAATTATTTGTCCTATAAAATTTCTTGTACCATAATGTTAAAAATAAATGCTAAAATGCCTTTCTAATTCAAAAAACAAGTACCTAAATATAAACAAATAAAAATTTAAATTAAAACAGGCCAGGCACAGTGGCTCATGCCTATAATCCTAGCACTCTGAGAGGCCAAGGCAGGTGGATTGCCTGAGCTCAGGAGTTTGAGACCAACCTGAGCCAGAGTGTGACCTCGTCTCTAAAAAGTAGCCAGGTGTTGTGGTGGGCGCCTACTTGGGAGGCTGAGGCAAGAGAATTGCTTAAGCCCAAGAGTGTGAGCTTGCTGTGAGCTGTGATGCTATGGCACTCTCCCAAAGGAGACAAAGTGACAACTCTGTTTCAAAAAAAAAAAGTTAAAAGATTTCTTTCCTGAAAGTTTGGGCCAAATATGTGGTTGCATGTTATACACAGGAACACGTTATTCACAACAAAATATGGTACTCCACTAAGTAGTACCTAATTTCACTGTATACATTTCTTAATCTGCCTCCTTCTTCCTCACTTTAAGATGGGGTTAATGTAGGACTCACAGAGGCCAGCTTGGCAAATAGCTGTCACCATTACTGTTCATAGATGTTGAAGGAGATTGTTAAAGGCCACTGTTATTTGGTAAGAAGGAACTCTGTCATTTCTCAAAAAGCCATAAATTATCTAGCATGAAAAGTTAAATTATACAAGTTAAAAAGAGAATCAGAATTATAGCTGTGATCACAAAATAAGACTTAGGAAAAAACTGGAAAATAAAATTACTGAAAGGAAATGAAACCAATGATATAATGACATGAGAATCCAGTGAAGTAGACTGTATTTAATGAGAGACTTATGCACATCTAAATCTACATGGGAAAGAAACTGATTAGAGCAAGGTTCAGAATACTAGAGAAAGTGGTAAAACTCATGACGGTCAGATCAAAAGAAATGACAATGAACGTTAACTCTGATGAGAAAGGCATCTCGTTTCCTCTGACTCCAGAGAGATTAAGGAGATGTAAGTGTGGGAAACAAGTAACAGAAATGATAGAACCAGCTTCTTGTGGGCCTTATCCAAATAGCTTTAGCCTTTCCCACTGCTTGGAGAAGGTTTGAGGGGAATTCTCTGGCCAGCATCACAAAAGCCCCCATCTGCCTTGCTCTTACCTGAACTTAGACATCCTACATTCTGTCCCTCCATCAGCCATGGTTCTTTTCCTTTCTCCAACTGGGAAATCACACCAGGTTTGGAAAGCTGGTATCCTGCTTATGGGGAAGAAAAGGGTACATGTGCTGAGGTCAAAGAGCCATCCCAAAAATTTAAAAATGGTCCTTTGGTATTCAAGTCTTCTAAAGATAGTAAAGTAGGAAGACCAGGACAGAAAGACCACAGCAATCCTGACTTGGTGTTCAGAAGGAATTAGAAACCTCTAATGCAGAACCCAAAGCCCAAGAAAAACACTTAACTTAGAAACAAAAACTTTATTCCAAAAGGCAGGTCCTATTTTCAAGGGGAACCTATGCTTACCCACTGAGACCAGGTTGCCATAGTTCTCCAGCATCACTTCCCGGTACAGATTCCGGTGGGCAGGGGCCAGCTGCCTCCACTCCTCCTGGGTGAAGTCCACAGATATGTCCTTGAAGGTTAACAGTTCCTAGAACATCAAATATGTTCCTTTTCAGCCAGAGTCCAGGAAATTGTTCTGACCTTGTCTAGATGCAAAGAGATTCTAGTCAAGTTCTCCTGATACCCTCTTGCTAATCACTTGGTTGCAGAGTATGTGAGCTGCTTTTACAGCCTATAATTTAGATGAAGAGAAAGTGTCTATGAAATATTAAAGAAGGTCACAGAACTGTGTGCAGTAATTTAGTATTTGGGGAAGGGGAGAATTCAAAAGCACCAAGGCCACAGGTACCTTGATTGGTTAAAGAATTGGTTAAAATGAGAATATTTTAGCATGGGTAAAATACCCTTAGCTGTATTTTTCTGTTAATAAGAAAAGTATAAGAGAACAGCATGTTTTTGGAGGGAGCATTAATTCCACCTATAAGGAAGACACCTTGACCGAGACAGACACTCTGGGTTGTAAAGTACAAGAGCCGGTTACATATGGTCTACACCAATTAAACAACCATTTGCTAGTCCTTTTCTAAAAATACTCCCAAATGCAAAGAGCATTCAAAGGCTAGGACACTGAAATAATAACAAATCCCCCAAGTATGGACACTACCTTAATGCTTGTTGTATATCATAAATAATTCTAAAATCCATTTCTGGCCTATTAGCTGATGATAGCATCTACATTTAACCTACAGGAAAACTGAATTTGAGGTGAGACATGGTGGCTCCTGCCTGTAATCCTAGCACTCTGGGAGGTTGAGGCTGGTAGACTGCCTGAGCTCAGGAGTTTGAGACCAGCCTGAGCCAGAACAAGACCCTGTCTCTATAAATAGCCCAGCACTGTGGCAAGTGTCTGTAGTCCCAGCTACCTGGGAGGCTGAGGCAGGAGACTCACTCAAGTCTAAGAGTTTGAGGTTGCTGCGAGCTATGATACTATAGCACTCTATCAAAGGAGACAAAGTGAGACTCTGTCTCAGAAAAAGAAATAAATAAATAAAGGAGGGGAAAGAAAACTGAATTTGAAGGTGGCTAACAACACAGGATTAAACCGTATGATTAAACTTGATTAAACTGCATGGTTTTGGAAGCTAAGACTACTCCATGTTAAAACTCTTCTATTCTATAATAACATCTCCTAGTTCTCTGACTATAATTTTCCTAAGTTTCCCTATCCCTCTGGGGTTTGGTAGTGTAGAGCTATGCCAGTTGCCAGTGCTGTAAGTTTTCTGATTAGCTCATTTCGGACATACAGCACACTGTTAAACTGCTCTTAGAAGTTTTCCTTCCTTTTCCGTTGAGCCCATTTAGTTTGTGCCCTTTATGACTTGTGAGTATCTTATCTCCTCATTTCTCTTGTTAGCTACAGTTTTGCTTCTAGACTTGATCAAAAAACTTCTCTTAGAGGTCATTAATGAAGTTTATACATCTCCAAGAATATCAGAGCCTGATTTTGTTGATTTTAAAATGTTGCTTGAAATGACTTTGTAACATTTGTCTTTCTCCCAGGTAATATCTGTGAGTTTTGAGAGCGAGAACTAAATTTTATTTATTTATTTATTTATTATTATTATTTAGAGATAGAATCTCACTTTGTCACCCTCGGTAGAGTGCTATGGCGTCATATCTCACAGCAATCTCCAGCTCTTGGGCTTAGATGATTCTCTTGCCTCAGCCTCCCAAGTAGCTGGGACTACAGGTGCCTGCCACAACGCCCAGCTTTTTTCGTTTTGTTTTTTTTGTTGCAGTTGTCATTGTTGTTTAGCTGGCCCAGCCCAGGTTCGAGCCCACCAGCCTTGGTGTATGTGGCTGACGCTGTAACCACTTTGCCATGGTGCTAAGCCAAGGACTAAATTTTATACTTCCTCTCCCTCTTTCTCCTCCCTCCTCCTTTTCCTTCTCTCTCTCTCTCTTTCTCTTACACACTCGCTCACATTCACACACCAGCACACTTTTTAAATTTGCTGGCTAAATGACTAGAGATTTGCTAAAAACAAGGTTTACTGGGGAGGATTATTACTGGTAGGGAATTACCTGCAAAATCGATTGAGGCAGGCCCAGTTCAACTGAGGTTTTCCCTGAGGAAGAACAGACTAAGAAAAACCAATTCAGGAAGTCCAGACAAAAAAATCAAAGTCCAGAGTACTGAAAAACAACAATCTGAAAAACAACATCAAGAAAGTGACCAGAAAGTCCAACCCACCTGGGATTCTGCTGTCAGGGGCTCAGGGGTCACTTCATCCTCTAAACCTTCTCCCTGGGTCACATCAGTATCCTGAGATAAAAGAACTAGGGAAGGAAAAGAGCCATGAGGTTTCCATCTCCCCCAACCCCCAAACACAAAAACTACCTGCAGACCCACTGAATACGGCTCCTCCCCCAATACGTGCACAAAGAGGGACATTCAGAGTGACTCAAAAGCAGCTCAAGCCTCCTTAATGAGGAAGACCTGCAGCATATTGCTTTAGGCACTAATATTTCCCAGTGGTCGCAGATCTCTCAGGGTAATCCTTTGTTCAAAAATCCTCAAAGGCTAAAATGGCAAGTCAACGTACTGTTTTTAAAAATTCCTCATAGCCAGGTGTTATGGCAGGCGCCTATAGTCCCAGCTACTTGGGAGGCTGAGGCAAGAGAATCACTTGAGCCCAAGAGTTGGAGGTTGCTGTGAGCTGTGATGCCACAGCACCTACTGAGGGTGACAGAGTGAGAATCTGTCTCAAAAAGAAAAAAAATCCTCAAAGGTTCCCACTGACAAGAAAGAAAACTCCAAACACTTCACCATGGACTTTGAGATCCTCCACAGCCAGTCCAAAGCTACTTCTCTATGGATGATCTCCCTCTAAATGCCATCCTTCACCCACTGAGCATACCTACTCATGTAATTTTTTCTTTTTCTTTTTCTTTTTGAGACAGAGTCTCACTATGTTGCCCTGGGTAGAGTGCTGTGGCGTCACAGCTTACAGCAACCTCCAACTCCTGGGCTTATGTGATTCTCCTGCCTCAGCCTCCAAAGTAGCTGGGACTACAGGTGCCCACCACAACACCTGGCTATGTTTTGGTTGTAGTTGTCATTGTTGGCAGGCCCGGCCTGGGTTTGAACCTGCCAGCTCCGGTGTATGTGGCTGGCACCCTAGCCACTGAGCTACAGGCGCCGAGCTTCACATAATTCTTTCTATTCATCATTCTTTAACATACATGGATAGCACTCACCTCAGTGCTTTCCCTTAAATCTTATTCGATGAAAAACTGATACATCCTTCAGGCCCAATTCAAGTGAAGTTTTCCCAGATAGTCTTTTTTTTTTTTTTTTTTTTTTGAGACGGAGCCTCAAGCTGTCCCCCTGGGTAGAGTGCCATGGCATCACACTCACAGCAACCTCCAACTCCTGG